ATATTTTCTAAAAAAGATTTGCTGCAATGTTGAATCTGAAACCATATCAATGAACTTTTCATCCTGTTACTTTGAAATCCATTGGTCTACTGTGAATGTTGAATGAGTCTTTACCCAGGAATAATTTTGTACTGGCATGTGTTGTTCATTTGAAAAAAAAGTTACTGGTTCTCTGAGTTATGTAGCAATTCTAAATGTTGACATAATAATTATGCAACACTTTTACAATGACATTACTTAATATGACCACTTATTTCATCAGGAAAACCTTTGAGTACTGGGAAGCTGTCCAGCTCAGGGTGGCAGATAAGTTTTCCATAATTCTTACTTCCAATTAAAAGCTTGACTTGTATCATTTTAGCAATCAATAGTGTAAATTGTTTACCTTGAAAAGACAAGCTTGCTTTGTTCATTTTTTGGGACAACGTCTATCAAATACCCAAGTCAGAAAACCATAACTTGTCTACCAGTCATTGGAAGTAAAAAACTGGTAACTCATGAAAAAAAAAAAAAAAAAAGCAGCTGGTAATTCAGCTCACAACTCAATCACACAATTGTTTTTCTCAAGACAACCAACCTCCTGTAACTGCAGTACAAAATATTTGATGAACACATCCCATTTCATCACACAGAATATTAAAAAGTGGTACTTGTGGGTTGAGTTTTATGAAATTAATAATTTATACTGATTCATCAAGAACATCCTATATAATAAAAGCCTAGATGGCGTCACGCGATGTTGTCACAAGATGGCCACCACAATATGGCCACTCCCACATTGTCACAAGATGGTGACTACAAGATAGCTGGCAGGGGAGGGCAGTTGGGGGTGATTGGGCCAGCAAGGAAGCAGTTAAGCATCAATTAGACCATCAGGGGAGAGGTTAGGGGGTGATCAGGTTGGCAGGTAGAATCGGTTAGAGGCAATCAAGCAGACAGGCAGACAGGTGAATAGTTAGGAACCACCAATCTTGGATTGTGAGAGGAATGTCTGACTGCTGGTCAGTCGGACATCCCCCAAGTGGTCCCAGATTGGAGAGGGTGCAGACCAGGCTGAGGGACACACTCCTTGCCCTTACCTCCACCCCCCATACATGAATTTTGTGCACCGGGCCTCTAGTTCTTAAATAAAGTTGGCTTGAGCATGTGTGTGTGTGTGTGTGTGTGTGTGTGTGTGTGTGTGTGTTGGTTAATAATTCAATGGTTATCATTATGGTTTGGTGCCAAAGCCTTGATTCTTGCTAAGTTTTAGCAGTTTACCCACCATTGCTATTGATCCTAAGTGCTGGTATCAGCACAGGTTTAAAAGAAAAGTCTTTGTATTATGAAAATTGTCTTGGTATCACAGATCCTCTGAAAGGGTCTTGTGACCCCCAGGGCCTGTTTGACCAAATTTGAGAACCACTAGACTGAACTTTGCAGAAAGAAACTTAGTCAAGACATAAGTGATAATAACTAAAAATAAAGAATTGGGTTTTATGTAGTAACCTACAATATAATTCCTTATGCATGACCTCATTTGATCCTCATAATGCCCTCTTGAGGTGGTATATAAAGCTGGTATTTTCACACACTTAAGGTAACATCCTTGAACTGAAATGATGTGCTTATCATCCTAGCTAGGAAGTAATGGCGATAACATTCAAAACCAGACTTTCTGACTCAAGTACAGAATTTGCCCCACAATACCCCATTTCATCTTTGCCCTTCCATGAATAGATATCTGCTTCTCTTCTCCCACTCCTATTAATATGTCTGTAGCCTAGCCTCTGTTGATTCCCACCTACAACTCTCAGCATGCTGAATTTAATAGGAACCCTCATATAGTGGAAAGGATAAGAAACTGGATCATGAAAGGAATCGAAAATTTGAGAGATATTTTCCAAAAGGAATGGAATATATAACACCTGTCACATGAAGATGGTAAATGCTGAGCAAAGGGCATCTCACCACACTGTTTAATTGGTGCTGTTCTACAGAGGCGGTGACAATGTCCTAGGAGCTGACAGAGCAACTGCTGTAAGCAACTTGTATACATAAATGACCCCAGGCATTGGGGCTACCCCACCAACATAGACATTTTACATTGGCATGTTATTTGAGAAAGAAAGAAACCCATCTGTTCTTCAAGCCACTTCAGGGTTACAACAGCTTAGTTTTGCCCTGATTTAAATATGCCCTCATTTCTTCAAGATTTTAGCTCTTGGTTCACTGTTCCTCTCCCTAATCCTAATCCAGTGATAATTCTTTAGGATTTTAATGCCCACAAAGGTGATCCTTCCAATCCCTCTACATTTCATTGAAAGTGCAATTAGCAAGATCACCTTGACCTCCACATTTCTAAATCAAAGTGTCACTTCTCAATACTCTTTTTACTGTGCCTATTGACAATATTTAAAACACCTTCTGCACTTGTTTTCTGGAACAATACACTCTCCTGGTTTTTCTCCCATTTCTCTGGCATGTCATTTATTGGTTTCTCCACATTTCCCAACCAAAATGTAGAACTATTTCTTACAGCCCTCAATTCAAAGATCAATTCAGTTTATAAAACAAAAACAAAAAATAAAGGTGTGGCATATTAATACATAAATAATCCAAGAACCCAGGCCAATGCAGGGATATATTTTGGAGTCTGTATTAACAGGTGAACTGAATGTAGGTCTTTTAACTTGTTAACCTGAAACAGCAATATCTCTTATATGAGATTTGAGTAAAATTTTAAAGTCTGCAAGTTGAACATTTAACTATCTGGCCTGGAGATAAGCTACTCTGATGTTGCCAGTTAGAATCAACTAGACTTGTTAAGGATCAGGTAGACTCTGCTTAAATAGTCCATCTCATTCCTGTTCTGGACATGCCTTGTTTTTCCTTAGAACACCGTTTTTTGTTTTTTTTTGTTTTTTGTTTTGAAAATAGAGAAAGAGGAACATCATGTCTTAAGTAGATAAGCTGGGGTAAAAATTGCACAAAGGCTGTTAGTGTTTCTACGACTATCCTGGGCAGTAACAAGAAGAGCAGTCACCTTGGGTAGGCCCTTGGTCTGACCTTCCCTCCCTCACTTATTTGGTATTTCTCCAAAGTTGCAAATGAAACATTAAAGTGAAAGGGGAACCCAAAGCTTGTCTCCAGACTCTTTAAGCTACCGTTCAGTCCACCTTCACAGTGTGACCGGTTTACCAATGTAAATGCAGCATTACTGTAGCTTCAGGGGCACAGTTGTGTTTCCAAGTATAAAGACTTCAGTGGTTCCTAAGCATACAAAACCTCTTCATCTTTTAGCTCGCTCCACATCCTTACATGCTCTGGAGACTCACTGAACTACTTGCTTTTGATCCTAAATGCTGATATCAATACAAAGTTTAAAAGGTATATTGCAATTAAAGGTTCTGGCACCAGGCCAGTGAATATGCTATTCTCTCTCTTACCCATCACTCACTGGGCAACAGTTTCCTAGTTGGCTTTTTGGACTCAGTACAATGGGAAACTCTTCTTGGGATCATTTTCCACTGCTTCTTCCTACCTTTCATCTCGCCCCACTCCCATGCTGGCTGAGGCACAGGTTGTTGTGATATGTAGTCTTTTCATAGCATATATCATATTGTATTGAAATCACTGGGATATTTAATTTCTTTTCCTTACTGAACTTGGGTTTCAAAAGTAAGGACTAAATATTCTTGATCATTGATGATTAATTTAGTTCCTGGCAGCTGGTAGGAAATGAAGAGTTGAATAAGTGAAATAATTCAATGAAAGTAACTATCATTTAATGTCAATTCTGATCTAGGAGCTGTGGAGGTAGGTAGGCACTTGGAGATACCATGGCAAGCAAAAATATACACAGCATCACCACTCATGTGACTTATACACTGTTGGGGGAACATACGTGAGTAAAATACCTGTATTAATGAATAAATACTGAAATTAAAATATGTGCTCTACAGATGAATAGCACAGTTCAATGAGAGCAGTTTAAAAAGACCATGACTAGACTGTTTATCCCTTTTGTTTTCTGGGTTTATTTATTTTATAGGTGTAGATGGAAGAAAACTAAATATGATTTATAATTGATGGGAAGGATTAAAATAAAATAAGTGGGAGACGTTAAATAATATACATGAGAGACAATAGGACGAAATAACAAAGCACAATTCTGGAGAGGATAGGTGTTGGGTAAGAGAAAGAGTATGTCTTCTGAAACTACAAGAGGGAAAATTGAGAGTTGAGGCAGCAGTTTCATTATAAAATGCAGAATAAACATATTTCTTAAAAATATGTAGTAATAATATAAATATGTATAAAAGTAACAGTTTAAAGAATTAGAAGTAGTTGGAAAGAGAATTAGAGGGTAAAATTGTTCTTGTTGCCATATTTTTGAGTACCACTTGACATTGTTAAATTGTGTGCACATTACTTTAGTAGAAGTAAAACAATTTATGATAATTTTTAAAAAAGTAAATACTCCCCATAAAGAGAGAGAATTTTAGTTTGTTTTAATTACAACTCTGATTCAGCTGGGATTTTGTGTTGGTCAAAGGTAACTAACTAGAAGTGTCTGTTTTTTCTCCTAAGTAGGTTAAAAAATCCCAGAACAACTTATTGTTTAGTCCTATTTGCACCCATGATTTGAGAATATTTTTATTTTATTAGAGTGCTTCTTCACGATGTGTCCTTGCCCTGATAACACACTGATTTGAACTAGAGTGAGAATGAGTTTATCGTGTGCAGATCAAAGAAAAAAGGACAGGGTGTGCAAAGGTACAGTTCTATAAAAGCAGGTGCCTGGGAAAAGCATCAATTGGAGGACTCCGACAGTAAAGAATGTTGAAAGCACAACAGAAGGTGTCATTAGTGAAGACAAAGACCTCCACACAGTCCTTTCTGGAGCAACTGCTGTGCTTCACAAGCTGTAACCCTGGCGACCAGACTCCGGGCCGGGATTGGTGCGGCCCTGGGGGCGGGGCGAGCGTCCGGGAGGCGGCTCGCGGCCCTCCTGCGCCATGCCGCCGGCCGCCGAGCCGCGGGCGCGCCGGCCCGGAGTCGGGGTGGGAGTTGTAGTGACTAGCTGCAGGCATCCTCGCTGTGTCCTCCTGGGAAAGAGGAAGGGGTCATTTGGAGCTGGCAGTTTCCAACTTCCTGGGGGTCATTTGGAGTTCGGGTAAGCAGCCATCTGGCCGGCATGGGAAGGGGGAACGTGCGTAGAGGACCAGCGCTTGCCCCTTGCCGCGCGTGCGCCCCTTGCCGCGCGTGCGCCCCTTGCCGCGCGTGCGCCCCTTGCCGCGCGTGCGCCCCTTGCCGCGCGTGCGCCCCTTGCCGCGCGTGCGCCCCTTGCCGCGCGTGCGCCCCTTGCCGCGCGTGCGCCCCTTGCCGCGCGTGCGCCCCTTGCCGCGCGTGCGCCCCTTGCCGCGCGTGCGCCCCTTGCCGCGCGTGCGCCCCTTGCCGCGCGTGCGCCCCTTGCCGCGCGTGCGCCCCTTGCCGCGCGTGCGCCCCCGGCCGACAGGGGCGCGGAGTTGGACACGGGAGGCAAAGGATGTCCTCGCCTAGTGCTTTCATCTCTGCGCTGCTTCCTGGTTAGTTTGGGAGATGTGTTTTTTAAGGGCTTCCACAGAAGAGACACGGAAGAGGTGTTTATAAACCCCGAGCAGGTCGGCGTTGCCAGTTAGAACATTTGCACTTCAAACGCCCGCAGCTGTATTGACTAGTTCCTGCCTGTGGAGGTCCAGTTGCAAACTAGTGAAACTGAGTTTCCGTGTCCCCATCTTTAAAATGCAGAAGGAGCCGAAACCGGTTTGGCTCAGTGGTAGAGCGTCGGTCTGCGGACTGAAAGATCCCAGGTTCGATTCCGGTCAAGGGCATGTACATTGGTTGCGGGTGCATCCCCGGTAGGGGGTGTGCAAGAGGCAGCTGGTCGAAGTTTCTCCCTCTCTCTTCCTCTCTATAAAAAAATCAATAAAATATATTTAAAAATAAATAAAATGCAGAAGGAAAACGAAGTACTCTTGAAAGTCCCTCTCTTCTTTGAGATTCTGTGATTTTTTGATATATCAGACAAAGATGGGCAGTTTAGAAGTAATTCTACACAGACTGAAGAAAGTCTGGTAAGTGAGAATAAGTTTCAAGTTAATAAATATCAGATAAATAGCATCTTAAGCATTTAGACCCAGTGCTGCTTTTCCTTTAGTATAAAAAGTGGAGGAAATAGTGAATCTGTATGGTTTTGCCTCATCTTTACTGCTCTCCTGCATATACACACCCCTTGTTTTCAGACTATTTCAAATTGCAGACATCCAATTATACCACCCCTAAGAAGTTAAGTATGTAACTGTAACAAATTTTTAAAAACATAACCACAATATTATTTTCACACCTAACAAAATAATTCTTTAACATCATACCAAATCTTTGCCATTTTCCCCAGTTGTCTTGAAAATGTCTTTTTACTATTTTGTACCAGGGGATATCAAAGGAGAAGGGCACATATGCATGTGGTTAATAAAGTTTTACAATCTCTAACGCTAACCCTGCTGCTCCCTTTTCCCCATGGTATGTTGAAGCATATGGGCCCACCTATTTTTTTTTTTTTATTGTTGAAAGTATTACATTTGTCCTTTTTCCCATAGACCCATTCTAGCTGCCCACCCCCACCCCCACCCTAGGCCTTCGCCACCCTATTGTTTGAGTCTATGGGTTATGCATATATGCATACAAGTTCTTTGGTTAATTTCCCCTCTCTCCCCTATCTTCCCTCTGAGATTCCTCAGTCTGTTGTTCCATGTTCTAATTCCCTTTGTTCATCAGTTTATTTTGTTCATTAAATTCCACATATGAGTGATATCATGTGATACTTGTCTTTTTTGTCTTATTTCGCTTAGCATAATACTCTCCAGGTCTCTCCAGGTCTCAAAGGATAAGAGATCCTTCTTTTTTACCGCTGCAGAGTAAACCATGATGTAAATGTGCCACAGCTGTCTAGTCCACTAATCTGCTGATGGGCACTTGGGCTGTTTCCAGATCTTAGCTATTGTAAATTGTGCTGCTGTGAGCATAGGGGTGCATACATTCTTTCTGTTGGTGTTTCAGGTCTCTTAGGATATATTCCTAGAAGTGGCATCACTAGGTCAAATGGAAGTTCCATTTTTAATTTTTTTAGAAACTCCATACTATTTTCCATAATTCATTCCTACCAGCAGTGCAATAGGGTTCCCTTTCTCCACATCCTCGCCAGCACTTGTCATTTGTTGATTTGTTGATGGTGGCCATTCTGACAAGTGTGAGGTGATACTTCATTGACATTTTAATTTGCATCTCTCTGGTGATCAATAACTTTGAACATTTTTTCATATGTCTTCATTGGAGAAGTGTCTGTTCAGATCTTTTGCCCATCTTTTAATTGGATTGTTTTCCTTCTGTCCATCAAATGGACAAAAGCAGCACCACCAGGCTCCTCCTTGGGCTCCATTCCTCCTCTGGACAATCCATTGATCTCGATACTGACTGCTGCTCACCAACAGCACCTCATCCTCCTGCTCGCTCCCGAAGCACAGGCACGCCACCCACTTCTTGAAGCCCTCTTGGTCGTAGGTCCTCATCTTGTTGGGGTTGAACTTCATCATAGAGGCGGGCTCTGGTGGCCGCTTCTGCTCCAGACACTGCAACAGGGCCTGGCCGTCGCCACCCCTCCAGGGAGAGGGGCCCAGGCGAGTTAGGCGCAGCGGTGTCAGGAGGCAAGGTAATGGCGTGGGGTGGGCAGCGAGGCCAGTCAGTCCCGGAGCCGGGCGGCTGCTCCGACATGGGGCAAGGTGTGAGGGTGGGTCGCTGGAGCCCAGGTACTGGGAAGGAAGCGCCACCTCTGCTCTGGCGCCTGCTGCTCTCCATGAAGCCCGCCACACACTCGCTTCTGCTCCCTCCTGTTGCTGCCATTGCAACCTCCACCCCGGGAAGAGCGGGGTCACACCATGAGGAGGTAGTTGCAGAGACTCGCTCAGACTCTCTGTTTCTTGATGATTCTGGCTAATGGTTCATAATTCTTGTTTATCTTTTCAAAGAACCAGCTCTTGGTTTCATTGATTTTTTTTTTTAAGATGCTATTTTTAGCTTCTATGTCATTTATTTCTGGTCTAATATTTATTACTAGAGGCCTGGTGCCTGAAAAATTCATGCACTGGAGGGAACGGGGTTCCTCAGCCCGGCCTTCCCCCTCTCACAGTCTGGGGGCCCTCAGGGGCGGAGGCGACCCAGCGATCAGGGGAAGGCGATGCCCATCACACCTCTGCTGATGCTACTGCCCTGCAGCAGTGAAAGCCTCAGCCGGCCCAGGTTACCTGAGCCTCGGCAGCCCAGTGCGGCTGGGGGGCTGAGGGGACTGGGGGTTCTGGAGGCAGGCATGCAGAGCGGTGGACCTGACTCTGCTCACCTGCCACCCTGCAGGGCTGAGGGAACTGGGTGCTGCCATCTTGTGGCTGTGGGCATCGCCATCTTTGAGGGTGTGACAGTCAATTAGCATATTCTCTCATTGGCTGTGGGTGCATCTGTGTGAGGGTGTGGTGATCAATTAGCATATTCCCTCTTATTTTGTAGGATTTCTTTCTGTGCTTTTTTGTTTCCTCTTTGTAATTCTTTAAGTGTTAGTTTATTATTAACGAGGCCTGGTGCATGGAAATTCATGCACTCTGGGGGGTCCCTCCGCCCTGCCTGCACCCTCTCACAGTCTGGGACCCTTTGGGGGATGTCTGACTGACAGCTTAGGCCCACTCTCCAGGGGATCAGGCCTAAGCTGGCAGTCAGACATCCCTCTGGCAGCCCGGGAGCCCTCGGAGGATGTCCAGTATCCTTAGCGCTGCCACAGAGGTGGGAGAGGCTCCCGCCACTGCCGCTGGGCTGGCCAGCCATGAGCTGGCTTCTGGTTGAGCGGTGCTCCCCTGTGGAAGCGCACTGACCACCAGGGGGCAGCTCCTGCATTGGGAGCCAGTTGTTCATAGTGGCCAGTTGTTCCTGGTTGTTCTGCCTTTGGAGTCAATTTGCATATTGCCCTTTTATTATATAGGATTTATCTTATTTCTTGAGGTAAGCCTGTAGTGCTATGAACTTCCTCTAGGACTGCTTTCACTGTGTCCTATAGATTTTGGGTTGTTGGGTGCTCATTTTAATTTGTTTCCAGGAAGTTTTTGATTTCTTTCTTGATCTCTTGGGTAACCCATTCATTGATCAATAACATGCTATTTAGTCTCCATGTGTTGGAATGTTTTTGGGTGTAATTGCTTTAGTTGATTTCTAATTTTATTCCATTGTGATCTGAGAAGATGCTTGATGTGCTTTAAATTTTCTTGAACTTGTAGAGACTTGCTTTATGCCCTAACATGTGGTCTGTCTTTGAGAATGACCCATGTGCACTCGAGAAGAATGTATATTCCATACCTTTGGGTTGAAGTGGTCTATAAATGTCAATTAAATCCATCTGATCCAGTGTATCATTTATAGTCACTTTCTTGTTAATTTTTTGTCTGGAAGATTTATCCAGTGAAGTCAGTGGGGTGTTAAAGTCCCCTACTATGACTGTATTTCTGTCAATCCTTCCCTTAAACTTCTCTAGAAGTTTAAAAATATATATATTTAGGTATTCCTTTATTGGGTGCATATGTGTTTATCAGGTTTATAAATTCTTTCAATCCCTTCATCTCATCCTGTGTGAGTCTTTTGTTCTGAGTTGGGTCTCTTGTAGACAGCACATAATTAGGTCATGTATTTGAATTCATTCAGCTATCCTATATCTTTTGATTGGAGCATTTAACCCTTTTATATTTAAGGTTATTGTTGATAGGTACTTATTTATTGCCATTTCACTTCTGTACCTATGTTTCTTTCTCTATTTCTTTTCATTACACCAGTCTCTTTAGCATTTCTTGCAATGATGGTTTGGTGATTATATACTCCTTTAGCCTTTTTTTGGGGGGAAGGGGTGGAACTGGAAAGCTCTTTATTTCACCATCAATTTTGAATGATTGTCTTGTTGGATATAGTAAGCTTAATTTCAGATCCTTGTGTTTCATTACCTTGAATACATTATGCCATTTCTTTCTGGCCTGTAGAGTTTCTGATGAGAAATCAGGTGACAGCCTTATGGGAACTCCTGTGTAGGTAACAGTTTGCTTTTCTCTTCCTCCCTTTAAGATTTTCTCCTTGTCTTTAATTTTTGGCATTTTAATTATGATGTATCAGAGCATGGGCCTTTTAGGGTTCTTCTTGCTTGGGACTCTGCCTCCTGAACTTGTGTGACTTCCCTTCCCTCCCCCCACCAGAATAGGGAAGTTTTCTGCCATTATTTATCCAAACACGTTTTCTATCCTTTGCTAACTTTCATCTCCTTTTGGTATTCCAATGATGTGAATATTATGTTTCATGTTGTTCCATAACTCCCATAAACTGGCCGCTGTTTTTAAAATTTTTTGTTGTTGTTTTTTTTTTGTTTTCTGATTGAGTGATTGTTTTTCCTACCTTGTCTTCTAATTCATTGATCTGGTCATTGGCTTCCCCTAATCTGCTGTGTATTCCTTCCAATGTGTTCTTTATTAGTGCTATGTCTCTGTTCATAGTTTTTATGTCTTTATTCATATTGGTGAGCATCTCTGCCACCATTATTATGAATGCTATGTCTAATAAATTTGTTATCTCCATTTCATTTAGCTCTTCTGTAGAATTCTCTTGTTCTTTCATTTGAGGTTTGCTTTTTGTCTCCATTTTGGCTACCTATTAGATAGATCTGCTACAACTTCCAATCTCTAGTGCAAGACAATGTCAGATGCTGTTTGTGACTGGCCCTGAGACCCCTATTGAGTCCCCTGAGTCCACAGGTTGTGGCTCCCTCTGCTGGGGCTGAATGCCTTTGGGAAGGACCATGGTGTGCACCGTGGTCTGCTTTTAGGACCATGGTGTGCACCATGATCTGCTTTTCCTAATTTCGTGCCCAAGATTACATCACACAAATACTTAAAGCCTCTAAAGACCTGCCTCTGCCTTCCAGGGATCCCCTGAGTTTCCGCCTAACAGTCCAGATTCATCTTGTAAGAGCGTGGGTGCCCCAGGGGCTCGCCTGGAACTGGATTGGGTTTTTGTATAATATTTTTAATCCCAGAGCAGTCGGAACTTGGATTCAGTGCAGTCTGGACCTTCCGACTCCTTCCACTATGGAGAGGCCATGGCAACCTCCGCAGTCAGACCTCTCTGCGTGTGCACACTTGCGCACACACAAGCACCTACTGTGGCTCCCAGTTCCCCCGAGTCTCCCAGTCTCTGCGTCTCCGGATGCCTTTCTCTACAGTCCAGACTCCACCCGTATGAGTCTGGGTTTTGGCCAGGCCTGGGGTTCAGTGCATTCGGGGGCTTCCTTTCCCTTCCCTCCAGCCAGGCACTCGGCTGCCCTTCCTCTCTGTGCATGCATCTCCCTATCTCAGCGCTTTGCGGCTCCCCTGATCCGTGAGCCTCTCTCCTCCTTTCTAGTTGTAGATTTTCCCACTCAGCCAGCTTTCCTGTGGTTTTGGATGATGTCCGTTCGGTCTTTTAGTTGTTTTGAGATTGTTGTGCAAGGCAGCAGTTTAGGCGCTTACCTAGGCCGCCATTTTGGTTTCTCTTCGCTGGGGTGAATTGTTTTGAAGATGTCAATTAAGTCCATCTGATCTAGTGAGTCATTTGGATTGCTGTTCCTTTGCTGATTTGTTGTCTAGAAGATTTATCCAGTGATGTCAGTTGGGTATTAAAGTCTCCTTCTATGATCATATTGCTGTCAATCTCTCCCTTGATATCTTCCACACGTTTTTATGTATTTGGGTGCTCCTGCATTGGGTGCATATATACTTACCAGAGTTATATCCTCTTGTTGTATCGATCTCTTTAGTATTATTAGGTGGCCTTCCTTATCTCTTGTTATGGCCTTCACTTTGAAGTCTATTTTGTCAGATATGAGTGTTGCTACCCCAGCTTTGTTGTTTTTCATTTCCATTTGCACGAGAGACATTTTTCCATCCCTTCACTTTCAGTCTGTGTGAGTCTCTTGTTCTGAGGTGGGTCTCTTGTAGACAGCATGTATATGGGTCATGTTTTCTTATTCATTGAGCCACTCAGTGTCTGTTGATTGGAACATTTAGGCCATTTACGTTTAATGTTTTTATTGATTGGTGCTTGTCTATAGCCATTTTTATATTTTGTGCTTTGTTCCTTCTTCCTTTTTGTTTTCCTCTTTTTACAACAGTCCCTTTAGCATTTCTTGCATTGCTGCATTGGTATTAATAAACTTAGCCTTTTTTTTTCTTGTCTGTAAAACTCCTGATTTCCCCTTCAATTTTTAATGATAGCCTTGCTGTATAGAGTATTCTTAGATTCAGCCCCTTGCTTTGCATCACTTTATATACTTTCTTCCATTCCTTTTAGCCTGGTGTGTTTCTGTTGAGAAATCATTTGATAATCTGATGGGAAATCCATTGTAGGTAACTGTCTGTCTCTCTCTTACAGCCTTTAATATTTTCTCTTTGTCATTAATGTTTGCCATTGTAATTACGATGTGTCTTGGTGTGGGTCTTTTTGGGTTTGTCTTGGTTGAGACTCTCTGTGCTTGTGTGACTTTTTTCTTCAAATCAGGGAAGTTTTCTGACATTATTTCTTCAAATAGGTTTTCTAACTCTTGCTCCTCTCCTTGTCCTTCTGGCAACCTATATACATATGTTGCTTTGCTTCATTTGTCCCAAAGCTCCCTCAGGCTCTCCTCCTATCTTTTATTTTATTTGTTCCCTCTAATTGCAGTTCAGATTGTGTGTGTTTTGCTTGCCTGTCTTCTAATTTGGTAATTTAGTCTTCTGCTTCTTCTAGTCTACTGTTGAAAACTTCCATAGTGTTTTTAATTGTAGCAATATCACTCTTTATTTTCTTTTGATACTTATATAGGTTGTTGATTTCTCAGATGAACTGTATGACTCTTAGTCTGAATTCTTTTTTTTTCTGACACATTGCATGCTTCTGTTTCATTTAATTGATTTTCTGGTGATTCCTCCTTTCCTTCCCTTTGTTGGTTGTTTTTTTGTCTCCCCATTTTTGCTCTCTCTGATGGATCTAGGTGTCGAGTCACGTGAGGCCTGTGGCTGCAGCTCTGTGCTTGCTGGCGGGTTGCCCAGCCGTGGGTTGCAGTTGCTCCTCAGGCGGTTGCAGGCAGCGGCTGCTGCTTGTGCAGTCATGAAGCAACTGCTCCTCCCGTGGTTGCGGAGCTGGTGCTTCTTGCATGGTCTGGGCAGCAGCTTCTCTTGAGTAGCTGCTCCTTGCCCGGTAGCAGGGTGGCTCCTCCTGGGGTGGTTGTGGGTGGTGCTGCTCCTTGGGTGGTTGCAGGCGGTGGCTGGTCCTAAGGTGGTCATGAGGCTGCTGTTCCTGATGTGGTTACGGATAGCGGCTGCTCCCTGGGGGAGGGGGTCCTGGGACAGCTGCTCCTTGTGCGTTTGTGGGGAAGCTGGTTCTTGGCTGTCGCTGGTGGCAGCTGCTCGCAGGTTGGCTGCTCCTCGCGTGGTTGTGGGTGGTGGCTGCTCCTTTTGGGGGTCACGGGACAGCAGCTGCTCCTCAGGCACCTGTGGGCAGTGGCTTCTGGTGTGGTCTCGGTGCCCAGGGCTAAAGGGTCTGACTGGCAGGGGGGGAATGTGCTCCTGAATTCACAGTAGCCCTTAGCAGGGAGGCTGGAGTCCCAGTGTCTGTGGGTTGGCAGCTGAGGCAGCAGGTAGCTGGTCAGAGTGGCTATAGGATCCTGGATGGTGTCAGAGGGCCCCCTCAGAGGTGAGGTGGGGCTCCCAATCATAGAAGCTTTCCCTTTCAAGATGGCGTGGCCTCTGCGGCAGAGCCAGTGCTCTGTGAGTGATTACAGCAGTAGCAGAAGCTACCTGGCTAGGAGAGTCTGGTCTGCTAGCCCTCAAAGGTCTTGTGAGATGTAGCTGTCTCTCTCTCTCTCTCTCTCTCTCTCTCTCTCTCTCTCTCTCTCACACACACACACACACACACACACACACACACACACACACCCCACATCCACACTCTTCTTTTGCTTCCTCCCTCACACTCTTTCCCTCAGTACCATCCTCTGGTCACCATCCTAAATATTCACTTTTTGTTATTCAATATGAAGTCCTTTTTCTCTCCTGATAACTAGACACAGGATATATAGAATGTCAAAGGTAGGGTTCGATTTGTTGTTTAAAGAATGAACCAATTACAGTTATTTTTGCTTTATGCTAGGAATATTTAGCCAAGCATTTCTGGCAGAAAATAAATTAAATGAATAGAATTGAATACAATAGTAAAATGTTTCTGTTTTCCAGTGAAAGCTGGGAAGAATGTGCTCAAAGGGAAACCTGGGAAGAAGCAGCTCTTCACCTGAAAAATGTTCGCTTTGCCTCAGTTGTGAATTCTTTCATTGAGAAGGAGAATTACCATTATGTCACTATACTAATGAAGGGAGAGGTGGATGTGACTCATGATTCAGAACCTAAGAATGTAGAGCCTGAAAAAAATGAAGGTAAGAGAATTATCTATAGTAATGCATTTTTAAATTTTTTACATAAGTACTAGTATATCTTCTGAAGGAATATTACATTATGTTGCTGCATAGATTTTCTTCACATTGAAATATAGATATACTTAAATCCTGAAATCACAAGGACATAACAGGAAAGAGAACTGGCACCTGAGTTGATTTGCATTTTGATTCTTCCTCTTAGAAATTTGTGATCTTGGAGAAGTTATTACCCTCTATGCCTCTTTTTACTTCTGTGATAATAGTAACTACCTCAGATCAGTTGTTGTAAGGGGAAAATGAGTTAATACATTTCAGAACCTAGTGAGCACAGTTAGTATTCAGTAAGTGTTAGTTTTATTTTTAGTATTTAATTTTTTTACAAACTATAATTTTAAGTATAACATTTAATGTATCTTTCTCAGTTTTCTCACCTGTGCAAGAGAGATAATAAATTCTTTTATAGAGAATGATTAACCTGACAAAACAGTTATCTATTCCTTTTGTGTTTAATTGAGTGCTCTGGAAATTTTAATGGCAATAACTGATGTTTATTATTTACTCCACGTTAAGCATTCTTCTAAAGGGTTTACATGTTTCATTTCTTCAAATCTGATAAAACTCCATGAGAAAAAGAACTAAAGAGAAAAATATCAAATTTACTGACTATATTGTTTTCAATATGAAACTTTATTCAAGGGGTCTCATATAGTGGAAGTATTTTATTTCTTTTCTCTTACAGAAGACACTTTTCATTCAATAAATATTCACTGAGAACTGTGTGCTGGACATTGTTCTAGATAGGCACTAAAGAAACAGTGGTATATAGAAGTCCCTGCCCTCCTGGGATTTACAACTTAGTAGGGGGAAAGGTGGCAAGGTAGCAGATATTTTATGATTGTAATGATAAGGAAGAGAAAGAAAAACTGTGTAAGGAAAGTGGTGCATGTGTGCCATGTTAGGAACGGCCTTTGTGAAGGGGACATGTATACAAAAGCCTGGAGGAAGTGATATTTATAGAATGAATAAATCATGTCTAACCCGTTTTATAGATTTGATTGGATGAACAGAAGCAAAGTTCTACCAAAAGGTCTATTGAGTCATACAAAATTTTTAAAAGGTAACTACTTGGAATCACCTAAAATGAACTATCAAAGTCTGAGCTGAATTGTTTTTACTCACAATACATCAGACACCAAATTCGTTTTTCCTTCCACATACCACCCAATTCTCCAACTCTCCAAAAATAATTGGATGGCCTATATTTCAATTCAATTCTGACACCATCTATCCAGAGTTGCCATCCAAAAAGAGCTCTGTCCCACAGACTGCCCCACTTCAAACACCATGCAGAAGTCCTGGCCTCCTATAATTTTGACCACAGCAAGGGTTCCCACAGCTCCCTTCTCAAGTTCAATAATTTGCCAAAATGGCCCACAGAATGCAGAAAAATGTTTTACTTACATTACTAGTTTCTTATAAAGGATATAACTCAGGAACAGACAAGTGGAAGAGATGCGTAGGGTGAGGTGTCTGGGAGGGGTAAGGAGCTTTTATGTCCTCTCCAGGTGGCATGCTACCCTCCCATCACCTTGGTGTGTTCACAAACTTGGAAGCTCTCCAAACTGAGTTGTGTAAAGTTTTTATGAAGGTTCCATTACATAAGAACTTACAATTGATTAAAATATTGTCTATTGGTGATTATCTCATTCTCCCTTTCCCTCTTCCCTAAGGTGGGGCTAGATGGTAGGGCTGAAAGTTCCAACCCTCTCATCAGTCCTTGGTCTTTCTGGTGACCAGCCCCCATCCTGAAGCTATCTAGGGGCCCCAGCTACCAGGCATAAACTGTGGTTGAGAGGGATATTTTGTGGATAACCAAGATGATTCATCTCTATCACTCAGGACATTAAAAAGGGTTTAGGAACTTTGTGCCAGGAAAAAGGAATGAAGACCAAATGTATATATTTCTTTTATCTCTTTATCACACAAAGAAATGCCTCAAAAGTATCCAGAGGTCTTCAGTTGGCCTAGGATACATTTTTCATGCCTGAAGAAGTGGAGGCTGCCTGGCCGGCATGGCTCAGTGGTTGAGCGTCAAACTATGAACCGTGAGATCATGGTTCGATTCCTGGTCAGGGCACATGCCCGGGTTGCAGGCTTCATTCCTAGTAGGAGGCATGCAAGAGGCAGCTGATCAATGATTCTCTCTCATCATTGATGTTTCTAACTATCCCTCTTCCTCTCAGAAATCAATAAAAAATAGAAATAAAAAAATAAAAAGAAGTGGAAGGCAGGAGAAGTAGGTAAGAAATGGCTTAGTGGGTTCATTGGGAGTATCCTCTACAAGTCCCTCTTATCTTTCACATCCCAAATTATCCCATGTAAAATAAGGAACTGGAGAGTGGAGAGCCCAGAACAATAATAGTGGAAACAAAAACCAGTAGTCTGACACTCTGAAGCTGTAGGGAGAAGCAGTTAATTGACTCTTTAGTATTAAATTTAAATATGCATATTTCCATTTTAGTTCTTTTGGTAGGACTCAATTTACTGTTTTTGAAGAAAAATATATTACATAACCTGGCCAGTGGTTGAGTGTTGACATATGAACCAGGAGGTTATGGTTCAGTTCCTGGTCAAGGCACATGCCTGGGTTGGGGGCTTGATCTCTGCTCCTAGGAAGTGGGGGGTGCAGGAGGCAGCCAATCAATGATTCTATCTCATCATTGATGTTTCTATCTCTCCCTTTCTCTCTCTGAGATAAATAAAAACATAAAAAATTTTAAAAATTAGTTTTGAAGTATAATTTATTCAGGTAATAAGCACTGATTATTATTATTTTAAGACTAGAGACCCAGTACATGAAATTAGTGCACAAGGGAGAGGGTCTCTGGGCCTGGATTGCAAGAGGGCGTAGGCTAGGCTGAGGACCCCACTGCTGCACGATTGGGGCTGGGAAGGGACATGAGAGGTTGACCAGCTGTGGAGGGACCGTGGGAGGGTTCCAGGGCATGTCCGGCCCATCTTGCTCAGTCCTGATCGGATGGACCCCAGCAGCAAGCTAACCTACCAGTTGGAACGTCTGCCTCTTGGTCGTCAGTACACGTTATAGTGAACTGTTGAGCGGCCTTAGCATATCATTGGCGTATTATGCTTTGCTTGGTTGAATGGCTGACCAGACACTTAGCATATTAGGCTTTTATTATATATAATACTAGAGGCCTGGTGCATGAAATTCGTGCACAGGGGATGTGTCCCTCAGCCCAGCCTGCACAATCTCCAATCTGCGACCCCTTGAGGGATGTCCAACTGCCCATTTAGGATCTAAGGGATGTCCAACTGCCCATTTAGGCCCGATCCTAAACGGGCAGTCGGACATCCCTCTCACAATCCAGGACTGCTGCTCACAATCCCAACTTTTTGCCTGCCTGCCTTCCTGATTGCCCCTAACCACTTCTGCCTGTCAGGCTGATAACCCCCTAACAACTCCCCTGCCATCCTGATTGTTCCTAACTGCCTTCCCCTGCAGGCCTGGTCCCTTCAAACTGCCCTCCCCTGCAAGCTTGATCACCCCCAACTACCCTCTCTTGCAGGCCATCTTGTGTGTTGGAGGGATGGTCAGTTTGCATATTACTCTTTTGTTAGATAGAATGATAGGGCCCTCAAAATTTCCTTATGTTTATCTTTTCTATGGGCAAACTGTCCTGAGATTAGAAGAGAAAAATATGATGAAAATAGATGTGTGTGTGTGTGTGTGTGTGTGTGTGTGTGTTATGCTTAGTATCCTTCACAAGAAGCAGATACAGAAACCATTTATTAGAGAAGGTACTGAGGATAAAGCACCAAAGTCACTGACTACGACAGCCTTGAGTCACAAGCGTCATTCACCTGCTGGCCCTCTTTTTATTTTTCAGTTGTCTCCTGACTGTCTTGCCTTTGAGTTGGCAAACCCTGATTCAAATAACAACTTCTCATCTTGCTCTTCTGAGCTGCAGACTTATATTTCTAGTTGCTGTCTAGATATATTTGCTAATGCTCAGAAGTTATCTCAAATTTAGCTCAATAATTTAATTTCAAATCATACTTTTCTTCCTTTAATGAACTTTGAATCTATAAAGAACAGACATTTTGGCTCATTCATTTTTGACTCTTCTAGGCCTGACACTATGCCTGGCTTGTAATCAGTGCTAGAACATGTTGAAGAAAGGAACAAAGGAATGAATATGCAAGCAAACCTCTTCCTGTGAGGTTCTCTAATAGAGTGTCTAGATTGGCCTACTTTTTTGTTTTACACATTTTTTATTCTCACCCCAGGATATATTTATTTTTAGAAAGAGAGGAGGAAGAGAAAGGAGAGGGAGGGGAGAGGAGGGAGGGAGCCATTGATGTGAGAAACATACATAACACCCAGAATCAAATGCGCAGCCTAGGTATGCACTGACTAGGAATGGAATTCGCAGCATTTTGGCGTACAGGACCATGCTTCAACTGGAGCCACCTGGCGAGGCCTACTTTTTAAATAACTTCTAAAAAATTACTGTTCTATTTTGCTACTATATTACTGTATATATTCTTCCCCCTTAAAATATAGTAATTTTAAGTAGTTTAAATATATATTTGTGATTCTTTTTATTCATTTACATAATCTTTTGAACTTGTCCGCCTTTGTTTTGTTGAGTCTCTGATTTGCTAGTAAGCTCAAATCAAGCGGTGTGATTTTATAAGCCCAAGTTACTAGCATCAAATCAGAGATGGTCAGAAACACTTGTTCCTCTTTCCATCTCTTAATAACAATATAGCAGAAATTATTTTCACTTTTTTTCCCATTTGCAACCTAACCAAGGTGCAATGCTTGGTGAGTATTTTATTTATAAGGTAGAGATACAGTCTCTGTTCCATGTTCATCAGGTGCTGGGATACACTTAACAGACAGCTCTCTTGAGACTCAGTTAACTTACCATCTTGTAACACTTTGTTGGGCAATCTCTCTCTCTCTCTCCCTGCCCCTCTCCTCTCTCTGTTAGTGTGTGCCTATAGTTGATAATTAGCCCTTCCTGAATTTACTCCAATTTCATGGATTATCTGTTCCCTGCCTTCCCAGAGTAAAACTACATATTCTATTTATAGCTTGAGAAATAGTTGATGGAAGAAACAGTATTTATACATAGATATATTCATGTATTCATAAAGAAACTTACTTAGAACATAGAGTATGCATCTTACTATCAGGATCCTATATAATAAAAAGCTAATATGCAAATTGTCCCCTCAACCAGGAATTCAAGCAGGAGTTCCACCAGGAGGTGGGGTGGGCCAGCCAACCGCCCTCCGCCCCTCTCCCCAGCCATCCCCATTCCCTAATGGGGGTGGGAATGGCTGGCCAGCCACCTGCGGCCACTCCCCCTGCCCGGCCCAGGCAATTAGGCCCGATTGGGGCGGGCTGGCTGGACCCCCATCTGTGCATGAATTTGTACATCAGGCCTCTAGTATTTATATATTCACCTATCATGAGCATCTGTGCTTTATGTTACTTAAATAAAAGAAATGCCATTTCCCTAGAATATTTTTTCTAGGATTTCATGTATTTTACAACTAACAGACACTGTTAATATCTTTTTTGCTAAAATAGCTTAAAAAACGAGTCCTCTCTATATTTGTCTTTCAATCTTAAGACATACCATAGCACAGAATATTTTTTATTCTCTGTATAGTTTCCATTACTTTTTTTAAGAGATGGAGGAGAAATTAGAAATTCTGTAATCTACCTTAATATTTTAGGTGAGGGAACTGGTATATTTTAATGTAGTGTATCCTCTAGTATATCAAGTTCTGTGCATTTTGTTTAGCCAGATATTTAAATGAAAATTGAATCAAACTAAATCTGCATTTTACCACAACGTGGATCTTGTAACTTGGCTTCATGTTCAAATAATGGCATATTTGGAATGATTACATTTTCTTTTTTAAGATCATCATTCCAAATGCAAATTATTTGCATAGCATCACTATTGTACCTTCTTTTATAGGTAGGAGATTATTTTTAAATTTAATTTTTAAAGTATAGGTTAACTTGCCAAAATAAATAACCTTTGTTTCCTTTCAAATTAAGTAAGTTGATCTGGTATCTTTGTTTTTTAGGTTGGGAGTGGGTTCCTTGGGAAGAATTTCCTCCACTGGACCAGCTTTTCTGGGCACTACGTTGTTTAAAGGAACAAGGTTATGATCCATTTAAAGAAGATTTGGACCATCTGGTAGGATACAAAGGAAATCATCTCTGGATGAACAAGATTAACTGATTAAAAAAAAAAGACAAAATAAGGTCCAGAGAATGAAAAATATCTGCATTTCAGAACAACTCCATTTTATCTAAAAAGTCCCATATCATTACCAGTTTTTTTCAGTCTCTAAATATGCTTACCACCCTTTCAGGCAATACGTATGAAAAATTTACTGGGATTATATTATGATTTATATTCCAGACTCAGAAAATGTATTAAATGATGATATTGTGATTAATCTGCTTTCCATATTTCACTGTGATATTTTCTGGGTAGTTTGTCATTATCAACTTCCATGGAGTGTAGTAGAATTTGCCTTAGTGTTTCAGTTCAAATAGAGATCCTAATTCAGATGCTAACACTATATGCCTGAAATAGAATATATCGTGTTTGGTGATTTTTCTCTTCTGTTTTATCTAAGACAAAAGGTTTTTGGTAATATATTGTGATAGTCCTTTTAACTAGAGTGAACAGAACAGGTTATTAGGGTATATTTCCTTGGTTTCTGATTGGGAATGTAAACCAAGAGAAGTGAGAAATACCTCCTAGGATTTGTTTTCTATCATTAGCAAGCCATCTAATTTTGGATTTCTCTCTTAATCTCCTTGAGATCCAGTATCCTTAATGTAAAGTAGGGAGATTAGACTAGAGCAGCGGTTCTCAAATGTGATTTGGGGAAATCCTTGAGCCCTTGGAAGGATACTCAACATCCAAGCTGTTTTTTTAATACTAAGACATGATATGCCTTTTTTACTCCTTTTCTAAATGTACTGAGGAGTTTTTCAATACTACGTGATTTGTGCTAATAGACTGAATGCAAAAGCAGATATGAGAATTCAGTTCTCTTCTGTTAAACCACATATTTGCAAAAATGTAAGACAGTGCCTTTTTCATTTTTGTTTGTTTTAGAAAATGATATTTTTCATAAAAATTATTTAACATTTGATGGGTTTTATTTGTAAATGAATTAATAACATTTAAAAAATATTTCAAGTTTTAATTCCTAATATGATAAACTAGTAGCCCAGCATAGGAATCCGTGTGCCCGTAGCTCTGCCACCCTCCTGTAGCTCCCTCTGTTCCCCCACCCCCTCCTAGCTAGCTGCTCTGCCCCCTCCTGTAGCTCTCTGCTGCCCACTTGTAGCTTGGGGTACTCAGTAATTTTTAAGAATATAAAGGGATTCAAATAAAAAAGTTTAAGAACTGCTGGATTAGATCACAAGTTTACTTCTTTTTCTTTATGAGCCCACTTCTATAAAATCCTATGCTTCTTTGAGAGCTGGTTACATTTTAATTTTTCCCTTTAAAAAGACTCAAGTATTACTATAACACATACTACAAAAGAATCTTTTCTCCAAAAACTGGATATAATTTTTTAAGTTTTTAATTGCTTGCTTTTTCAAAATTATATGTGTACATTGTATAATTCACCACTTATAAATTTAACTTTCTATTAATTTTCAAATACATTTCTTGATATTAGAATGTTTGAGGAGTTCAACTATAGTAAGTATATATTCCTTGAATTTCAGACAAACTGATGAATGCCACACAGCTTTCTGCTCCTGTTTGATTACTCCATAGCCTTCTGTGGCTTGCTCATTATTTTTACTCCCTTCTTCAGTTGACTTAATCCCTGTCCCTGATTCGTCCTGCATGGTAGACATGTGAGGCTAGATAAGAACCCAGACAAGTCCTATAGGTGAAACTCTACCATAGTTTTATTTAAAATGCTGTTGGTTAGAAATTTATTGAGATATCTATGCTGTACTTTTTAAAAAAAATTTTTATTGCTGAAAGTATTATATGTGTCTCCTTTTCCCCATTGACCTATCCCTGCCTGCTCCTGCCCCCCAGCACATGCCCTCATTCCCCTTCTATGCTGTACTTTTCTAAGCAGATATTTTATAGCTTCAAAAACTTGTCATAAACCTATTGAGTTTTACCAGGTCTTCTACTTTAAATTTTTAGTAGATAGAATAAGGAGTTTGAGAGGGTTTTTTGTTTTGTTTTTCCCAACTAGACATGAAGGTTTATTACAATGGAAAGAAAAAACTCTTATTTATAGAAAAAAAATTAAGTTTTATAATAGAAGGGAATTGCATTTACCTCAACATCTAATATTCTCAGTTGGTGTCCAGTAATCACTTGGTAAATATATCTGTAAGTAAGTGAATGAATGGAGCAGGATTTAGAACTCTTAAGTAAATAATTAACTCTTAGATGGTTTTAGAATTTCCTTTATTAGAAAAAAACAATGCTAACTACTAGCAATGTTGTCACATAAAATTAAATGTCAGCTGGAGTTTCTGAAGTATACTTCACCCTGCCAGGATACTGGGGAGTCTGAAAGACCTCTTCATCTGTTTGCCAAATCAAGCCCTGAGATGTCCTCTATCCTAAGATAGGCAAGTGCTCACTCTGGCTACATCCTAGCAAAAGGCATCCTAGTGGAGCATGACATGAATGCAGCCTTCCTTAGCTTTACTTAAAAGAGAAACTCTGTTTTCCTTACTGCCAGCTCTCCATATCAGCCAAATACTTTCAAAAGAAATATTTTCTCTTTGAGGCACCAAAGGCCATGTTAGTCCAGGACTGTGGAGAAGGAAAACTCAGTGAGTCATCCATAAAACATATGGATGAAAAAAAATATTGTCTTCTTCCAACATAAAATCACATATTGACACTGCCTCTGTATTTTATTTTAAATAATTTATTTATGCTATACATAGAAGTCATTACTGAATGTGAGTAGTGTTTATGAAAAATTCAAATTAATGATAACAAATACCCATTGCTTAAAGATGTTTACCAAGCTTCCCATTTTATGGACTCTAAGAAACTAAATATGGAACTTCATACTGAAGGTCCTCCATAAACATTTATTTTGCATCTACTGTGTGCCAAGTACTGTGATAGGTGGTTAGTAGTATTTATATTGTAAGTTAAACCCATTATACTTACTTAGTCCAACAAATTTCCATTCTAGATTTCTCTGTATTTTTATGTTTGAAATGGTTCAGTATTTAGCTTTTTGCTTATTGCTCAATAGCTTAATATGCAATGATGTATCACTCCTCATTTTATTTTTTCAGAACAATTTATGGGCAAAGGAAGGAAGTAGTAAGCAAGCCACGCTTGTCACCAGCTTCAGTTTGACCTGATATTCCTGTTCTCTATTCTTTTTTTCTTTGCAGACTTACTTTTTACCTATTCTTTGATGACTCTCCAAACAACATTACCTATAGCTCAGACTTTTTCTAAGCTCCAGACCCAATTACACATAGTCATCTCTACCTGAGATTTCCCATGTCCTTCTAACTTGCTATATTTCTAACTTAATTTCCTCTGAGGGAATGACTTTACCATCTGCTGAGTTGCTCAAATTTATATTCCTTTCCCCCACATGTAGCAGACTATCTTCTCCCTTCTCTTTCTTTGATGTCTGTCCAATCTGTGCTCATTACATTGTCCCAGCTGCCTTTTCCCTGGTCCAGATCTTCATTATTTTTTTTTTGCAGACTGTTCCTGCATCTTTACCCATTCATTGACTAATTGATGTAAAATATAAATAACAAAATTTACCACCTTAATCCTCTGACTGATTTTTGACATTTTTTTTGATATATGAATTTTTTTTATTGTTTCACATATTTAAGCTGTGATTAAATGGTAGTATTGAAGAAATTATTTCAAACCACTAAAGATTGTAGGTTTCATTATTGAGAGCAAAAGAAATCCATATTTGCTGTGTACATCACAGGAACTTAACTCCTCACCAAGAAAACCAAAAGTAGGCCACAAAACTTTTTTTTTTTTTTGTAGAAAATGGGTCACTGGAGTTGTGTAGTTAATAAATTTAGTATCAGAATGGCATCATATACTGAGTGGCCAGATTATTATACTATCTGAATGCATAATAATCTGGCCACTCAGTGTGTGTGTGTATATGTATACACACACACACACACACACACACACACACACACCTCTAATATATATATTAGAGGCCCGGTGCATGAATTCATGCATGAATGGAGTCCGGCCAGCCTGGCCAGGGGGAGAGGAGATGGCCTGCCTGCTGGTTGCACTCCTGGTCAAGAGGACAATTTGCATATTAGCCTTTTATTATATAGGATATACTCTGAGTGGCCAAATGATTATGAATTCAGAGATCAATACACTGGATTGAACTGTCACTAGCATTAGCATAAGGTAGAACTCTCCAGCTGTCAGCAGGTAAGTGTGATATCAGAGTGAGTGCCAATTAAATAAGGAATTTTAAGTTTTCCCTACATTTTCTAAAATAACTTATCTAATATGTGATAGGTAATTTGGGCTCACTAAAGATTTGAGGTTACAATACTAATATATTTCTAAGTTCTGATTGCATACCTACAACACTGATTTTTACAATATTTTTACAATATACCTTTAAAACACTCCTTTTGTGGGTTGTACTTGATGAGAATTTCTTACATCATAGCAGATATACAAATTTCCATTGTTGCTGACATTTAGTAAAATTTTTATTCACATTGAACATTTCCTCACAACACACAAGACTCCTCAGAATTTCTCTTGAGTTAAACCTTCATTATAACAATTGAATCAATGCTTTTCTCTCCATTATGAGTGGTTTTTTCTTCTTCTTACAAAAGTTGAGCATTAAAACCTTTTTCATAATCATCAATAGCATTCATAAGCTTTTTTCCAGGATAGTGTCTCTGGTACTGAATAAAATTGGTATATACACTAAAGGTTTTCTCACATTCATCACATCTAGATTGTCTTGGCCAGAATGGACTTCCATATGATCAATAAGTTCAGAGAGTTGGGTAAAACTTCTGCTGCACTGAATACACCAGTGTGGTTCCTCCCAAGTGTGGATACTCTGATGTTCAACATCAGCGAGTGTGCTGAAGGCTTTCCCAGAAGTATCACCTCGATATGGCTTTTCACCATTGTGGATTCTTTGATGGTTAATGAAATCAGAGCGCCGACTAAAGCTTTTGCCACACTGATCACACCAATATGGTTTCTCCCCAGTGTGGATCTTCTTATGTAGGATGAGAGCTGAGCACTGACTGAAGGCCTTCCCACACTCATTAATTTGTATGGTTTTTTCCCGGTGTGGGTTCTCTGGTGTTTGATAAAGTCTGAGTTCTGAGTGAAATTTTTGTTGCACTGTGTGCATGGGTATAGTTTTTCTCCAGTGTGAATTCTCTGATGAAGAATAAGGTCAGAACTCTGATGAAGGCTTTCTCACAAGTATTGCAATGATAGGGCTTTTCCCCAGAGTGCCCTCTGATGTTTAATGAGGTCTGAGCTCTGACTAAAACTTTTATTGCACTGATTACATGCATATGGTTTCTCTCCAGTGTGGATTCTTTGATGTTTAACAAAGTCTGAACAACGACTAAAGCTCTTAGAACAATCACTGCATGGATAAGGTTTCTCTCCAGTGTGGATTCTCTGATGTAGAATAAGGTTGGAGCTTTGACTAAAGGTTTTCCCACACTCATCACATTCATAGGGTTTCTCACCCATATGAATCCTATGGTGCTTTACAAGATCTGATCTTCGACTAAACATTTTACTGCACTGGTTACATGGATAAGGCTTTTCTCCAGTGTGAATTCGCTGATGATTAATAAGATCTGAAAGTCCACTGAATGTTTTGCTACACTGAGTACACGGATAGGGTTTCTCTCCAGTGTGGATTCTCTGGTGCAGAATAAGGACTGAACTCTGATTAAAAGCCTTCCCACATTCATTACATGTATAGGGTTTCTCTCCTGTGTGGATTCTTCAGTGTTTAATAAGGTCTGAGTTCTGACTGAAACTTTTGCTACACTGATCGCATGGATATGGTTTCTCCCAGTATGGATTCTCTGATGTAGAATAAGATCAGAGCTCTGACTGAAGGCTTTCCCACACAC